AAAAAAACATGATGGAGCCGTCGCGCGGCTCCCTAGCGTAGAGTCGATAATGGCTCAACGTCGTGGGACTTTGTGGAGTGGCGGGAGGCGGTGTCATTTATGGCCCGCTTATTGGTACAAATTTGTCATTGTGTTGTTTTTTTGTAGAGTGGTGGGGGAAGGAGGTTATAGGGTCATCCGAAGTACTTCGGACAAAAGGAACTTAATTGCTGGATGGGAAAATGTGGTTTCAGAGCCGAGTCCTTAGGTGCAATAGTGAGGATGGGTGAGGAGATTTACGATATCTTGACCCTGGGATCATACTGTATACATTATATAAACAACATAGCTGCAGTTTTTGTATGCTGAAGTTTTTATGCATTTTTATGAATGAAGAGTCAATAGAGACACAGAACGCGAGGCACTCATACGGTATACTATTCGTACGTATTATAGGTATAACATAGGCTCGTTCATTCAGCGTACGCATTTTTGGATTTGATTTCGGCAAATGCCGAGTGGAATCACGCGAGAATGACGGCAGCACCACGGTGAAGGTGACTAGGCCCGCCGACCTTTTCCGATTACTCCTCGTTCCGAAAATGAGATAAATTCCCTCCAAATTCAGGCCCTTCATTGGGGTGGCCGTGAGCCGCACAAATTTATAATCGCCCGCTTCCTCACTGCCGCCGATAAACAGCTGTTTGACAGCTGGAAGCGTTTCCTCTCCAAAGATTTCGCCCCGCATGGCCGCACAATTGCCATTCGTAACGACCTAATTGGGTTGCAATATTTGTCAGCGCAGCGCGCTAAAGATCTCTCGAAATGTTTGCAAGCTAATGGCATCTACGCCATTGCCTCCGACAACCGAATCGGTATCGGTGCGCCTCCGCGCCGGCGCTGGTTCCCAGCGGAGGATCCATACCTGCAGCAGCTCTTAACCTCGCCACAGCCATAGTCAACTGCGCCCACCACAACCCTCTTCTCAATGATGCTTGTGATTTTTTAAAAATTGCGTGATTTTCGTATTCTCTTTGATTTTTTTAAAATATTGT